GTTCTCCTGCAGTCAGTGAGACATAGATCTGAGTGTCATCTGCATAGTTATGATAGGAAACTTCGTTTCTGCGTATTAACTGACCTAACGGCAGCATGTAGAGATTGAAAAGAAGAGGTCCCAGGATCGACCCCTGTGGTACTCCACAGGTCAGGGCCATATGATCTGAGACACAGTTTCCAATCTCCACAAAGTACTTCCTGTTCTCAAGGTAAGACCTAAACCAACTTAGGGCGGTGCCAGCGACGCCAACCCAGTCCTCTAGTCTCTGTAAGAGGATCTCATGGTCGACAGTGTCAAAGGCAGCACTCAGATCTAACAGGATTAGGATTGAGACTTTGCCTGCGTCCGTGTTTAGCCGGATATCGTTTGTAACCTTGACGAGAGCAGTCTCAGTGCTGTGGTGGGGTCTAAAGCCGGACTGAAACATATCAAATGAGTTGTTGATTATAAGAAATCTATTTAGCTGTTGGTAGACAACTTTTTCAAGGACTTTCCCCATAAATGGCAGATTTGAGATGGGACGGTAGTTGGGACCGTAGCATCCAGACTGCTCTTTTTAAGCAGGGGCCTGATGACTGCAGTTTTCAGGGCCTTTGGGAATATTCCAGAATGAAGGGACATGGGTACTATCTGTGTGAGTGAAGGTAACAGACTGCTCAGAACAGACTTTAGAAATCTAGTGGGTAGTACATCCAGGCTACATGTGGAGGCGCTCAGACTGGAGATTATCTCTTGGACAGTTTGATCATTTACAGGTGCAAAGTAATTTAGCTCAAAGAGCCTTTTAGGCTGTTGGATGGTTATCTGTGGATTGGAGACAATGGCGTTTTTGATGCCTTGAACCTTGTCATTGAAAAAATGTGCAAACTCATTACATTTACGTTTGGAAGTTAGCTCTAATGGCATCTGAACAGGGGGGTTTGTTAATCTATTAACTGTTGAAAACAGAACACGCAGATTGTTGCTGCAGCCTTCAATCATTTCAGAAAAATACCTTTCTCTCGTACTACGTAGCACCTGGTTAAACTCGCACAACTTATCTTTGAAGATCTCGTAATCAACCTGGAGGTTGGACTTGCGCCACTTCCGCTCGGCCCTTCGGCACTCTCTCTTTTGTGCCCTGACCGAGTCTGCTTTAGCCCACGGCGCCTTCTGCTTATTTTTCACTGTTTTAACCTTCACAGGAGCGATGGTGTCCAGAACATTCAAAACACTAGAGGTGACAGAGTTAAACAGTTCATCTACAGTAGAATACGATGCATTCTCAAAGTTTATCATTCCCATAAATAGTTCACCCGTATTTTCATTTATGTGTCTTCTTCGTACAGTTGCAGAGTCCACTGGTGGTTTGTTAGTGAAACACATGTCAAAAAATACACAAAAATGATCCGAAAGCGCAACATCGACCACGTTTACATTTGAAATATTCACCCCCTTAGTAACTAACAGGTCTAGAGTGTGCCCTCTGCTGTGGGTGGGGCCACTCACATGCTGAGTGAGACCAAGAGATTCAAGAACAGAACTCAGCTCTTTTGCCCTTCTGTCAATAACATTATCCACATGAATATTAAAATCCCCTGTAATAACTAAGCTATCAAAATCTGTGCATAAAACCGAAAGAAACTCCGTAAAATTATCAATAAATCTGTGACATGACTGCGGTGGCTTGTATAGGACAATGAAGAGTATTGGACTAGATTGTTTTTGTTGTATTTTAAAAGACACATATTCAAAAGACGGAAACTTCCCAAGAGACATTCTATGGGAGACAAAGTGGTCTCTGAAAATGGCAGCTAAGCCTCCTCCTTTTTTGTTTCCCCGTATTTCAGATTCAAATTTGAAATTTGGTGGTGACGCTTCTATTAAAACTGCATTTTCTGTATTTTGGTCAAGCCATGTTTCAGCCATGAACATAAGATCTAGATTATAAGAACAAATGAAATTATTGATTAAAAAAGACTTGTTACAAAGAGATCTGACATTTAGCATAGCAAGTTTCAAAGTTTCAGTATCAGCGGTTGTGGTCGGCTGATTCTTACACGGAACAAGAGGACTGGGCATCAGTCGAAGGCGGAGACCTCGGCGACCCAGTCCGCACACACAACATCTGGCTCTTGGGACGTGGAACGTTACCTCACTGGGGGGGAAGGAGCCCAAGCTCGTGGGGAGGTTGAGCAATACCGACTAGAGATAGTCGGCCTCACCTCGCACACACAGCTTGGGCTCTGGAACCCAACTCCTTGAGAGGGGTTGGACGGTCCACTTTTCTGGTGTTGCCGCCGCCGCCTCTCTCGCGGGGAGAGGCGGCGAGCTGGGGTGGTCATACTCATTGCCCCCCATCTCAGCCGTGTTGGAATTCTCCCCGGTGAATGAGAGGGTCGCGTCCCTCCGCATTTTGGTGGGGGACAAGTCTCTCACTGTTGTGACGGCCTACAGGCCTAACAGCAGTGCAGAGTACCCGGCCTTCTTGGAGTCCTTGAGGGGCGTACCGGACGGTGCACCACCCGGGGACTCCGTTATTCTCCTGGGGGACTTCAACGCCCATGTGGGAAATGCCAGTGACACTTGGAGAGGGGTGATTGGGAAGAACGGCCCCCCTGATCTGAACCCGAGTGGTGTTCAGTTGTTGGACTTCTGTGCCAGTCACAGTTTGTCCATCACGAACACCATGTTTGAGCACAAGGGTGTCCACCAGTGCACGTGGCACCAGGACACCCTAGGCCGGAGGTCGATGATCAACTTTGTTGTGTATCATCTGACCTTTGACCGCATGTCTCGGGTGAAAAGAGGGGCGGAGCTGTCAACCGATCACCACCTGGTCGTGAGTTGGATCCGCTGGCAGGGGAGGAAGCTGGTCAGACCTGGCAGACCCAAGCGTGTAGTGAGGGTTTGCTGGGAACGTCTTGCTGAGCCCCCTGTCAGACCCGGTGGTCAAATCTCGGATCCAGGAGGAGCAGTGTGGTTCTCGTCCCGGCCGCGGAACACTGGACCAGCTCTATACTCTCCATCGGATACTCGAGGGTTCATGGGAGTTCGCCTAACCTGTCCACATGTGCTTTGTGGATTTGGAGAAGGCGTTTGACCGTGTTCCCTGGGGTGTCCTTTGGGGGGTTCTCCAGGGTCCGGGATCCTCTGCTGAGGGCCGTTTGGTCCCTGTATGACCGGAGCCAGAGCTGTGTTTGCATTGCCGGCAGTAAGTCAGACATGTTCCCGGTGCAAGGCTGCCCTTTGTCACCGGTTCTGTTCAATGTGTTTATGGAGAGAATATCTAGGCACAGCCAGGGGCCGGAGGGGGTCCGGTTCGGAACCACAGGATTTCATCCCTGCTTTTTGCGGATGATGTTGTCCTTTTGGCTCCAATGAACCAGGATCTGCTGTTGCACTGGGACGGTTTGCAGCCGAGTGTGAAGCAGCTGGGATGAGAATCAGCACCTCCAAATCCGAGGCCATGGTGCTCAACCGGAAAAAGGTGCCTTGCCCTCTCCAGGTGGGTTGGGAGGTCCTTCCTCAAGTGGAGGAGTTCAAGTATCTCAGGGTCTTGTTCACGAGTGAGGGAAGGATGGAGCGTGAGATTGACCGGCGGATCGGTGCAGCGTGCGCGGTGATGCGGTCGCTGTATCGGACCGTCGTGGTAAAGAGGGAGCTGGGCCTAAAGGCGAAGCTCTCGATTTACCGGTCAATCTTCGTTCCCTCCCTCCCCTATGGTCATGAGCTTTGGGTAATGACCAGAGTTAATGCTCAATAATTGATAAGATAAGATTATATTTTCAATGATAGAATGTGCGAGCAATTTCATCTATTTTCTTCAGTTATATGGGACCAGAAGTAAAAAATAATGTCTTAAGGACATACGAAGTGGCTTCATTTATCCATTCTCCGCTGTAATAACATTTTCCCTTTGTATTATTAGGCCAAAAATCTAAAACAACTTTTTATTTTATCAATTCCATTTCTTCCCTCATTCTTCATTAAGAATGAAGACACAAATAATTATCTCAATGTGAAATAGATATTTTGACTGTACGTAATGTTTGTGTTATCGGGAGTTTTTCTTTTGTTGTAGATCTGCAGCCAATAGGAGAGCCTCGTATTAGAGCTTAGAAGTGCTTTCGTCTAATTCCATTCACATTCAAAATATTAACCCTATGAGTACCAGAGTTTTTCAGAAATGTGATGTGAAACAGACATAATGTGGAGCCCTGAATGTTTATAAGAGATAGAGGATAACTGAAATCAAAACAGATATAAAGCAAAATATGTAAGAAAAATTTAGGACATTGTTTGTGGGGCAAAATTCTGTTATGCAGTGGTCCGTTGTGTTTAAAAATATGTTCTAAAACTAACCCACAATAAGCGGAGTCCTTGAAGTAGCAGTTTTTTTGTTATAAGGCTGTAAAACCCCTCACCACACACTGTATACACTTTTTTAACCACCTGAACTCACGACTGCTGAAGTGCGAATGCAGAGATACAGTATCAAACCTGTTTGCTGTTGCAGCTGTCAAAAGCCATGCATACACTGTCAAATACAGCTGCAGAGGACACCGTGCAGAGGGGCAGGGCTACATAAGACTGCTGTAGTCCTCTGAACTCATCACTGCAGTGCACACAAGCCACAAAAGTTTTCTTCTGATTTCAGACAAAGGGTTAGGGTTAGTAACTATCATGTTATACTAGCTGTTTAATGATGTTGGAAAATACACGCAACACATAAGAAGCACGCTATTAAAAAAAACACAAAATTGCACATGAAAAAATGAGGCTGCGAAAGGTGAACCGCGTTATAGCAAAGGAACTGTAATTTAATAGAATTTAAATGAAAGACCATTGTTAGTTCTTATGGGGGAAATAAAGTTCCAATCCTGGTCATTCATTCATTAAATTCAGTCCATCATTGAATTGGTAAAAATACACTTGTTCAGCTTCCCTTATTACCCAGTGCATAAGTCCGTCCCGCTGATCCACCTTTGGAGTAGATCTTAAATGTTGCAGAGCTGATGGTGATTCATGGCTTCATCTCCTGGTACCTCATTAGGCCGTTCCTCTGCAGTAGCTCGAGCGCAGGACGTCACACCCCCACGCACCCCCCTCCGCACCTCCATACCCCTCTGCACACCTGCTCTGCTGCTGTGGGTGCCTCTGTGGGCCTGGGACCCCCACACCGGCTGTTCTCTGAGTCCGCTCCAATGCCACCAATGCTGAAGGGATGAGTTTAGGGGACTGTGATGAGCTATGGCTTGGATTCAGAATATTGTTTTCATACTTCAAGAGTCCATATGTGAGTCAGAAATGTCTTTAGACAAACAATGTTGTAAATGTTTTTATAGTTTAATTTACAATGCATAGTTTGTTCTGTTCTTACAACTTGGTTAAAGCTTTTCATACACAATGCATTATTATAAAACATGTTAACTTTTGCATACTTGTCAGTCAGAGCCCTGTGAGTCGCTAGTTGATTCTTGGAGATGACAGCTGATTGGCTGAGTGAGGGTGGTCCTCTCTTTTTTCACTTTTCTGTCTCAAAAAGCTGCTCTAAAGATGTGTCTGATACAAACAATGCATGCACAAATATCACTACTGATTGAACCAAACTGTTGAGAGTTACCTAGTTATAACACGTGTGGTTTAGTTCACTTAGTACCCCCGCTTTAAGTTATTTAAATGTTAGTTTGCCTTGTTTTTGTCTAATGATGTGTGCATTCTTACATATTGAAGCTCTATACAGTTTTTGCTACAGACCTGCTTCAGCTTGAATATGGCCTTTGTCAGAGCTGATTTTAAAGTTTTAAAGTTAGTTTAATCAGAATTACTCAAAAGGAATAATCACAAATTCTGAACCTGATCACTTGCATCATGTCCATGTCCACACTTTTATTCGGCTTAATCAAATATTCCTCCTTCTCAATGAAACGCCTCGACCTGTGACGTCATGTTGTCAATCTGCCGTGGGCACATTTGGGCCATAAAACCACCCCACCATAACACAGTGTGGCCCATCTGCTCAACTACTGTCGCTGATGCACTCTGGGAAATCCTGGCCTCTGCTAAGACACACACACACATACACAAACATATACATACACACACACATGCACACACACACAAGCAGGGCTATAGTCTTTTGATGTATTAGATATGTAGTTTGGATGTTCCACTGACGTTTCCAACATGGGCTGCTGTGAGCTGGTTTTTAACTGAGAGTGTTCGGCTTCTCATCCATTTTCCAAGAGTCCGAACCAAATGATGATCTTGGATGGGAATATGGTGGACTTTATTTTTTCTGCTACCATAGTAATCCAGCTACAGCTAGAAGAATATTGGGCAAACTCTTTAGCCACTGCAACTTTTTTAAACATGACACAATGAAAAGTCAGGATTTTTTTTTTTTTTATCTCTGCTGTAGGGCAAACTCCATAATTAACAAATGGTACTGAATGAGAAACTGTGAGTTACGCGCTGATGATCAGATCTGTGGACAGACTGCACACATGAACAAGGATGCTAACATTGTATCCACAACAGCTCTGGAACTGGAACTTTCATAGCAGCTCCATAACTAAGCATGTAACTAAAGTTTAAAAAAAACGTTTATTATTTAATTTGTTGATCATGGACATGTTTAATATCAGGCCAAGCCCTAATATTGTGCTCTATTGTTTTTCCTGTACGAATGTGGAAGCCTGTTTTGCCATTTCTCTTCAACACAACAGGATAAATGGCTTGTTTACAGTCACTGAAGCAACATCTGCGTGTGACATAATTTGGCCCAAAGCTAATTCAGCCCCAAACTAAACGCCTGACTCGCACTGATCCAATAAGGTAATGGCTTCTGTCTAATTTAATCGGGCTGGAAGCGGACTGTAGATTTGAGATTGTCACCTGGGGTTCAGTCATTACTGCACTGCAAAAATGAATTCTGGTTTTGTGGTTAAATTGGCCTTAATTCAGATCAATAATCTTGATTTGAGCTGTTTGGATAAATCGATAATTGGTCAGTATACAACCGTGTGTTCTCAGTGACTGGTGAGGTGTCATAACCATGATTTCTCTAATAGGCAAGGACATGTATTTTATAGCAGAGTTCATATACAAAGAAACTCAAAATCCTTAAACAATATAGAACTACCCAGAATTAATAATACATGGATTATTAGAATATATTGCTCTGTCTCTTGAGTACAACTGTAAGCCAAAATCTCATGAAAATCAAATCATCTTTTTTGCAGTACAGAGGTTCACCCTGTCAAACTCAGCACACTGTTCTCGTATGGCCTCTACAGAGATGATCAGATATGGTTCTTATCCCACATCGAAGCTGATAGTGACACAGAGCTGTAATTGGACAGAGGAGGGAGGGGCTGATCCTGGGCTCTTATGATACCTAATATGTGTAATGTTTCCACCAGGCCCTTTCACACTTCCTCTGGGAAATCTCTTTTAAACTGCTCTGGTTTATTATCTCCTATCACCCCATTGTCATTATATCAAACAATTTAGGGACATGGTTTTTAATTTGCTTACTGTACTAATCACACTGTACTTGTTGTCCGTATTTGTTTTCAGAATATAGCATTTTAAGCATTTTGGATTTGCCACATGGTCTCGAATCAATTTTTACTAATTTGAGCAGAAGTAGAGGTGAAAAGTAGGAACATTCAAAAGACCATTTACTTTTGTAATTCAACTTACAATGTGAAAATAATATATGACAGAGCCATTACACACAGTGATAAATCTCATTCCTTTGTTATAATGTTGATAACTGTCATCCATCAATTCATTTTCTTCCCCTCCCATCCATTTCTGTGTCGGGGGGATGGCAGTCAGAGCTGCACTCAGCACACATAGCACCAGCCCCTCACTGATCCTCCTGCAGGTGGTGAGTCCACAGGAGCTGAGATCTTTCAGTAAGGGCTTCAGGCAAAGTGGGGTTAAGTGTCTTGCCCAAGGACACAACGCCAGCAGTCATCAGTGGGAGTCGTGAAGTAGGTCTTTTGGTTGGCTCAAACCCACGACCTGCACGCCCAAAGGCCGATGCTCTACCAACTGAGCCACTGTCTCAGAGTTTGTTAAGAATATGTTAAAAATGTGAGCCAAAGTCATCAGCAAAATCATCAGCATTATATTAGCTGATATATTCACACATATATTTACAATCTCTTACCAGTGTTATGGTGTTACTTATCCCACAAAAGTCAGCTTTATTAGGACATGTCAAAAATGAAAAAAATGTATTACATTTGTAATTACATGAACATCTTCACTTTGTGTCTCCCAAAAAACAGTTCACATGTACAAATAAGAGTTTATCTTAACTGAGCAAAGTTTGAAGTTGAATTATAATCCATAACAAAAATACAACATTGACTTGCTATTTCAAAGCCCCTCGTCCAATCAGAGAGCAGCATGAGGCCCTCATTTGGGTTACCAGTTTGTTTGGCTCTATTTTTTTATAAGGAAAAACAGCACCATGAATTAAAGTAAAAACAATAAGTCATCATACAAAGTTTATACAGCTTTAGCTTAACCCCAGCAGGTGAATGGCATCAGTGATCAGTGCTTAGAAGGTATGTGTCACCGTAAGAAGATTTTGGCAACAAAAGTGTGGTTGTAATGGCAATGATTTAATTTCAGAGATTGCCTTGTTGTTTGCATTTTTTTATTTTTTTTATTTTATTACAGATTCAGTAAAGAGTACTGTAGAAATAGAGGTGAATATATGGTGAAATTAATAAGAAGAAAACATTGATGCAAGATGCAACAAACTGAACACAAAAATTACGTATCTGAATTTCATCTTGCCATATTTTCTCTTCTGTTACTTACTCACAGTGAGGCTGCTCACTGTGAGTAAGTAACGGAAGGTACTCTTTACCTTAGAATACTGTCAAAGTTACTAAAAAAGTAACTGCTCCACTCATTATTAAACCGACTGTGTCCTAATGCATGTAATGTTTCTGCAGGGTGCTTTTTAGATTTCCTCAGGGAAATCATCTTGGGTTTATTATTTCGTATCTTTCCATTTTTATTACGTCAATTCATTTTTATAGGATTTTGCCACATTTATATGCAGAGACTTTAAGGTGGATTAATTGCATTTTAGTGTGACTTTTTTGTACCGTCCTACCACTAGTACTCTTTCTGAAAAGGACTCCTCCCCATGCGTACTGCTGTGGCATACACTCAGACCTACTAAAACGTATTTATTTCACCAGGTAGTTTGACTCATCTCTGGGGAAATCTCCAAAATCACTGGAGTTTATTCTGAAATGTAACATGTACATTTCTCCATTGTGAGATAAATCAAGTTTTATCTTATCAACCAATGTAATTGGTAAAAACCTAATAATGATGACAAAACATGGCAGGCGTCAACAGGAGGCCAGCAATAGTGATAATGGTGTTGGATGTTTTTACATCAACACAAATATACTCACTGCTCAAAACCCTGAAATCTTGCATTGAGTTCGCTCATGCCTTTCCTTATGGCGAAGTTACATGCTTGTCTTCAAAGCCGATAGGAATGTTTTGCCGTTGTGTGGAACATGATTATTCTGCTTGAGAATGTGTACTTTTTAATACCCTCTATATAAATGTGAATAGTCAACTACTACTGTAATACTTTTATCCTCCAATTGTGCCATACAGCTCCTTTTTATTTCAAGACATTTGACCCTTTCCCTGGCATATTTCTGCACAGTGTGAGTATTCAGTCTCGTCCGGCTTGAGATTCATTTTCAGGTTATCGATGTGTGAATGAAAAAGCAATAATGTGCGAATGAGCTCTCCATCGATACCTCAAACTCCCATTTACAGCGGCTCCTTGACCGCGGGCCAAAACTAATATGAAGCAAATCTCATTTTGACTGGAAGTACGGCGGCAGAATGTGAAATATCAGCCGGAAAATGTACAATAAAATTATGTGACAATTATCTTTATTGGAAAGAATGGCCCCAACTCTCAGTAAAATATACTTTTTAATGTTGTTGTTGGTGCAATATTACATACGTGCATTTTGTTCATTCGATCAAAACATTGAAGAAAGAACATGGAAGAGACTTATGTTGTGGTAATTGGTAGAAAAATAGGTTTCACTTTAAATCTACAATATCAGCATCTCGTGGCTTCATTGATTTTGTTAGAATGGTCTTTACTTCTTTTGGCAGTTGTCGATACATAATAAAGCGGTAGGAAGAAATGCCCCCACACACTAAAAATACTGGCGTATGTATTAGGGTAGAATAACAAATTCCACCATTTTGTTGTGTGGCTACTAATAATAACTAATGATTCTGATTCTGAAGTAGGTGGAGCTTCAGGGCCTAAGAGTAAAATCCACTATCTCTGAGGACGCAGGGATTTCTGAACTTCAGATTATGTGTGTGCACAATTGGGCTTAAAACAGCTACAGTGGGGCAAAAAAGTATTTAGTCAGCCACCGATTGTGCAAGTTTTCCAACTTAAAATAATGACAGAGGTCTGTAATTTTCATCATAGGTACACTTCAACTGTGAGAGACAGAATGTGGAAAAAAAATCCAGGAATTCACATTGTAGGATTTTTAAAGAATTTATTTGTAAATTATGGTGGAAATAAGTATTTGGTCACTTCACAGACCTGTAACTTCTTTAAGAAGCGCTTCTGTCCTCCACTCGTTATCTGTATTAATGGCACCTGTTTGAACTCGTTATCTGTATAAAAGACAGCCCAAATGTAGCCCAAAACGAAATTTCAACCACTGATAATCTCCCTCAGTCTGGGGCTCCACGCAAGATCTCATCCCGTGGGGTCAGAATGATCATGAGAACGGTGATCAAAAATCCCAGAACCACACGGGGGGACCTGGTGAATGACCTGCAGAGAGCTGGGACCAAAGTAACCGAGGTTACCATCAGTAACACACTACAACGTCAGGGAACCTCCTTCCATTGAATTGAATTTCTGCTATGGACCAAATACTTTCCATAATTTACAATTTTGCCGTTGGAAGACCCCACACACGCTGACCCACCGTCCGTCATGGACATTGTCTTTACCAAAAGATTAACATTAATCGCAAGACTAAAACAGCAGTCTGGATTGTACTACAAATCTTCTAACCCTTTCTAACTTTCAAGCTCCAAGAATTGTCTATTTTGAAACTCTAGATTTTTGTTCTCTGCTGCCTCCACAGGTGAAGTGCTGTAAGTACTGGCCCGACGACACAGAGATCTACAGAGACATTAAGGTGACACTGATCGAGACAGAGCTGTTGTCGGAGTATGTCATCCGCACCTTCGCCGTAGAGAAGGTAACGTCCTTGAGCTTTTGTGCTGTGTAAGTTCGTCTGGTTATTGAGGACAGAGAAAGCCGCAGAACATCCTCACTGTCGGGTCCTTTAAAGTTTCCATCTCTTTCACTCAGCTCTGCATGCACAGAATGTTTCCACTTCTGTCCTTCACCATTTGTGACTGCTCGTCTCCATGTGACGTGGATGCGTATTGTATATAGGGCGACGAGACCTCGTTTACCCTCTGGGAAAATTTGTCCAATAACCATTTGTCAGCCTTTTTTTCAGGACTAATGCTAAAGTCCTGTTGTATACTGAGAGGATGATACAAATAGTAGCTAATGATAATTATATTAATCTTGCCAAAATGGTTTCCTCCTTTCCTGCTGAACGCCTTGAGAAAGATAATAGCTTGGTTTATAAACTGATGAAAATAACAGTATAGGTAAAAGTAGGAATAACTTCTATACAGGGTTACAGCTGCACTATCTGACTTTGAGAAATGTTCAAATGTGAGCGGTGAGCTCGCTGTTTTTACCCGCCCTCCCCGCACGGAGCTTTTGCCCCCCACTACACCCCTCCGCCTCAGCCTGCGCTCACATGCTAGCTAATAGATGGTTTTCCATTGACGTCACGCACTACCCACAGTTCGCCATATTTTAAGTCTTGCCGCCGCTAGTTGTAGGTAAACAAAGCGTACATCACTTTTTTGCGCTTTTTTGCCTGTGTCGTTTGGAGGTGCAGTAAACGTGCAGATTGTGGGGACATTCCTAAGGTTATTACGAGCCAGGGGAGCACTATAAGGTCTGTTCTGACCATTTCATAACAGGTAAGAGCTAGCTAAATCTGTGCATGTGTGGTTTATATTCAGAGCTGCAATTTGACTGTGATACCATGTATATATATGGGCATCAAGCGATCCCCTGTAAATGAATGAGAGGGGGGGAGGAGGAGGGGGAAACAGAAGTGATTTACAGCCTGTGATATTAACTGCTTCATTCGAAATAAATTATTGATTGAAATAAATTTTGCTGCATATACATGATCTTTTTTAATTGTAAAACTGTTAAGTGAAAGTAAGCCATTTCTGGTCTCGCAGCATTTCATACGGATCCAAATCTACGATCACTCTCAATTTCTCCACGGATCTTGCCTCACAGATTACTACAGTGTATCAATATACTTAACGCGGTCAGCGTCGGCCGAATTCGTGGCTTTAGATGACATGGGGACAAATGATCCGTGACAAATGATCCATGACAAATGATCCGTGCAATATAAGCCAGACAAACAAAATGGCTTTCGCGCAAAGCATTATGGGTAATAAGCACGTGATGGAAAACCATCTGTTGTATACGGAGCTTACGTCTCACAATAGGGACAATATGGATCGCACATTTGAACGTGGATGGCGTGACCATAGAATGATAGAACCGGGAAGCGCGGAGGAACAACACTTTCTTTTGGATGGATGTTTTGCTGTTTAAGCAGTAACCGGTAACGAAGACATGGGAAGTTTCAGGTTAGCCTCCGCCGCTTGTTTACCTCAGCTGTCTGTGCTAACCAGAGACCTGTGGCTTTTCTCAAGAAAGTGGGGGCCAGTGGTCCGCTGTGATTGGTCACAATCGGGACCCAAAACACATTCTCTTCCTTGTTTCATGAAAACTCGATCTAAAATAAAATGACATGCCAGTACAAATCTGCGCTACTTTTTCTTCAAAAGGACGTATATCCCAATGCATTGCATGGATATGGATTGAATTTTTTCAGTTAGTGCAGCTTTAACTCAAGCCCAACCATGGTAAAAAAATGTGAACGCTATGGAAAACGATGTGGCTATGTAGATGATTTTTTTCTAAAAATCTCAAATTATTGTTAATGCCAACCCCTTCATGTGGTCTTGGGGTACGTTTGCACAGTCTTTTTGAAGTGGACTTACACTTTGGTGTAAAACTTTGGTTTGTAACAATGCAAGAATTGTCTGTTCAACAAAAACCAAGGCATTTTACAATTTTATAAAATGCTTTCATGTATTTTAAAAAGTTCTGTGACATCATGAGGAATGCTATTCTGGACACATCCGAACTGTGGTTTAATGATTTCTGTTATGTTTTCTGTCCACTAACGCTGTGTTCCCTCCTCAGCGTGGGGCCCATGAGATCCGGGAGATCAGACAATTTCACTTCACCGGCTGGCCAGACCACGGAGTGCCCTACCACGCCACAGGTCTGCTGGGCTTCATCCGGAGGGTCAAGTCCAAAACCCTGACCAACGCTGGGCCAATGGTGGTCCACTGCAGGTCTCTCTTTCACCTCTATTATCCCACAGGGTCGCAGTCTGCCCGGCTATTCATTGAATACTTGTGCTAAAACTAATTATTTTCTCCCAACAAAGTTGAAATGCAAGCACCTGCATTCACAAGTACATTAGACTTTTGAAACACCCTTTTTCCATTCTTTTATTACAATGCACTGCCTTCAGCTCATTCAAAATTCTGCAGCTTGCTTTCCAAATCAATCTATTTTAAAGGATCTCTTCCAGCTACCAATTCTGGCTCTTTGACTTTAAAATTCCAATGCTCATTTACAAAGTCCTTACATATCTGGCACCCATATATATCTCCGACCTGTTAAGACTCTTATGAAAATTGGAGAAGGTGCTTACTCTCACTATGCTCCTGATATTTAGAGGGAGCAAAGTGAGAGCAGCAGGAACGCCTGCCTGCTGCTTTCAAATCTCCTCTGACACTGACCAAAACTAAACCAAAGACTCACATTCTCATCCTTAGATTCTGCCCCTCTCTCTTAGTAAAAGTATCCGTCCTCACAAAGCAAAATGAAAAATTATGCCCATTCACCGTCTTTGTCTGGAAGGGGCCAAAGCCTGATTTTCTTTTGTCTTTGTGAAACACTTTGAGTTGCAATCATATACAATATGCAATATATTCTTCTTCCAATCCATCAGCCTATGAGATTGAGCCCCAAACACCCCTTTGACTGCTCTGCTTTCATGTCTAGCGCTGGAGCCGGGAGAACAGGCTGCTTCATCGTCATCGACATCATGCTGGACATGGCTGAGCGGGAAGGAGTGGTGGACATTTACAACTGTGTGCGAGAGCTGCGGTCCAGACGGGTCAACATGGTCCAGACCGAGGTACTGGCACTCGGGACTTAGGGCTTTGGGACAGGCCTGAACTACTCCGACAATTAACACCAACACCTAAATTGCAAACTCAGAGGTCCAGTAGTGACCATGCAAGTGAAAAATGCTGACAAGAATCCTATTCATTTCAGAACATTTGTGTAGAGGTATACTTGTAGATATGGTGATCTGCAAACCATGTCTTGAATTCAATTGTGCAAGTTCTCCCACTTAAAATGAAGACAGAGGTCTGTAATTCTCATCATAGGTACACTTCAACTGTGAGAGACAGAATGTGAAAAAAAATCCAGGAATTCACATTGTAGGATTTTTAAAGAATTTATTTGTAAATTACAGTGGAAAATATAACAAAAATTCAACTCAATACTTGGTAATATAACCTTTGTTGGCAATAACAGAGGTCAAACGATTACTATAGGTCTTTACCAGGTTTGCATACACAGTAGCTGGTATTTTGGTCCATTCCTCCATGCAGATCTTCTCGAGAGCAGTGAACACGGACTTTCAACTCCCTCCACAGATTTTCAATGGGGTTGAGGTCTGGAGACTGGCTAGGCCACTTCAGGACTTTCAAATGCTTCTTACGGAGCTACTCCTGCGTTGCCCGGGCGGTGTGTTTGGGATCATTGTCATGCTGGAAGACCCAGCCACGTTTCATCTTCAAAGCTCTCACTGATGGAAGGAGGTTTTTGCTCAAAATCTCATGAGACATGGCCCCATTCTTAACACTGATCAGTCATCCTATCCCCTTAGCAGAAAAACAGCCCCAAAGCATGATGTTTCCACCCCCATGCTTCACAGTAGGTATGGTGTTCTTGGGATGCAACTCAAACACGACGAGTTGAGTTTATACCAAACAGTTCTACTTTGGTTTCATCTGACCACATGACATTCTCCCATTCCTCTGCTGTATCATCCATGCGCTCTCTGGCAAACTTCAGACGGGCCTGGACATGCACTGGCTTCAGCAGGGGGACACGTCTGGCACTGCAGGATTTTATTCCCTGTCGTTGTAGTGTGTTACTGATGGTAACCTTTGTTACTTTGGTCTCAGCTCTCTGCAGGTCATTCACCAGGTCCCCCCGTGTGGTTGTGAGATTTTTGATCACCGTTCTCATGATCATTTTGACCCCACGGGATGAGATCTTGCAATCAAGGGAGATTATCAGTGATCTTGTACGTCTTCCATTTTCTGACAATTGCTCCCGCAGTTGATTTGTTCACACCAAGCTGCTTGCCTATTGTAGATTCACTCTTCCCAGTCTGGTGCAGGTCTACAATTCTTTTCCTGGTGTCATTCGACAGCTCTTTGGTCTTGGCCATAGTGGAGTTTGGAGTCTGACTGTTTGAGGCTGTGGACAGGTGTCTTTTATACAGATAACAAGTTCAAACAGGTGCCATTAATACAGGTAACAGGTGGAGGACAGAAGAGCTTCTTATAGAAGAAGTTACAGGTTTGTGAGAGCCAGAGATCTTCCTTGTTTGAAGTGACCAAATACTTATTTTCCACCATAATTTACAAATACATTCTTTAAAAATCCTACAATGTGAATTCCTGGATTTCTTTTTCACATTCTGTCTCTCACAGTTGAAGTGTACCTATGATGGAAATTATTTTTTGTGGGAGAACTTGCACAATCGGTGGCTGACTAAATACTTTTTTGCCCCACTGTATGTAACACTTTTTTTTTTGCCCTGTGCTCTTAAAGGCATCACTGTCCATTGTCTTATAAGGATCCAATTTAAGTGTTTACATGCAGCCCAACCACAATACCATCGACTGGAATCAGCGCCTGCGTTTTTTAACACCGCAATTGGGACGCATGAATTTGATTTTCACTTGTTCTCTGTAAACATGCTCATTATAATGTCATCACTATACTGAACCAGGTCTGGGTCTAGATCTGGTTCTCATGCTGGTCGTGTGGAAGCTCTGTCGATGTGGGATTACAGACACTCCTCGACAGCCTGTTGTATCTGGAAGTGGATTAAAGGAGATCTCGGAGAGAATCTGAGCATAAGACGTGCTTTAGAAAGTGTGAAAACAAACAATGGCACAATGAAGAATGCATGTGTTTTAATTTGGCAGAAATGCAATAAAGATAATGATGCTGTTTGTGTACAAATATGTAACACAAGGCATCACTGCTGCAACTACGTAGTATTAAAACAAGTATTTTTAGGTCACAATCGGACATCAATATGTTTTATGTTGTTTATACTTTTTACAAACTTTTATTCACTTTAACTAAGTGAACGGTTAATATAACTTTAGATACAGCAAAAACTATTTGTTGAAAGCCTATTGCTAAAGACCGCATGCTAACTACTACATGTATGCAGTGTCGCTTCTGTGGTGGAAAACCCAGCTGACTCGGCTCAATAAAACAGTATCAGTCTAGAAACGGTCCAGGACCAGCACCACGAATAGGGGGTTTTAACTGCCATAGACAGTTGGTTACCAAGCATCAGAAAATGTTGAATTTTATAGAACTACTCTCACTTAAAAAATAAAATACATAAGAAAAATATAATCACATAAGACGAGATTTAGGAAGTGTGAACACAATGGCACAAAGGAAAATGCACGTGGTCAAGTTTAAGATGATGATGCTGTTTGTGTACAAATATTTTGTACAAATCCCCACTGTTGCTTACAACTACCAAGTATTCAAACAAGTAATGATAGGTCATATTAGGACAGCAGAATGTTGCAGTCAACCCTTTATACTTTTTCCAAATATTACCCTATCAATCACTCTCCTGTAGTTATGCACATAGCCCACTGATCCTCATTTGTCCACACATTGCCCGGTGGTTTTATTGGACATGATTTAGCTCCTCTTTACATATTTAATGTTAATTTCCCTCAAAGCGCCCTCACCACGGCACACCTACTCACTCGCGGCCCATTTCCCCGGACACTGAGCATAAGTGCCAGGCAATCCACGCGCCCATAAAACGCTTTTTAGAGGCTTGTAACCACCAGCATTTAGCCCATATTGATGGCAAGCTCATCTCACTGTTTCATACCGACCAATGCACGCGAGCTTTGGGGCTTTTCGTGAACGCTGACCATCTGGAGGTGTCCGTAGTTTCAGTGAACGCATCATTTCACCTTAATTCCCTTTAAATCACAGGCGTCATTGGGTTTAATGGGCAAACGCTTCACGGCCGACGGTGAATGGGGATTTTCCTGTCGACCGGAGACCAAATGTTGTTCAGCCTGAGTCATTCGGCACAAGTTCACTGACCTTCAATGTGTGTGTGTGTGTGTGTGTGTGTGTGTGTGTGTGTGCGTCGTGTAATAAGCAAAGTGTGTTCTCTTAAAGGGTCAGTGGCACTGTCATCACATCTGTCTGCTAGTACTCACTAAGTGATGATGATAAACACTAGATTTATTATGATTAGGATGCAATGTTTAAATTGTGTTAATCTATTAGTACTCTGGTAAATACAGCAAGAATCCTAGTAAATAGTTGCAAAGATCATATTTACTACACATTTACTTAGAACCAGCCGGGGCTGGTTCTGAGCGGAGTCATTTCTCCACCTGAGCAGACCTAATGCCGGTTACAGAAGCAACATGCTGTTTACTAGCAGTAGTTCGCATTTATTAGCTTCTTGACGAATTGTCTTATCTGTATTTTCAATTAAGACCATCTTTTATCTTCTCAATACACACTAGGAAAGTTTAAGGGATGAGTTACACAAACTCATTGTGTGTGCATGCTCTGCTCTCGCCCCAATGGGCAAGGAGAGACCGACACAAGCAAAAAACTCGAAGTGGGGGATGTGGAATTTCTGGGTTAAATCCGTTTTCCCCGACCTTTTTGAGCCGTGACGCACCTTTTTAATTGAAAGTACTCACATGGCACACCACCATCTGAAACTGATACAAACATTAAACTCAGCAGCCTTTATTAACAATGCTAAGTCATTCTCAATTATGTAGATTCAGATTCATTTTATTTGCCATTTTCAGTAAAACCACATAGGAATACATTTGCGAAAGTCCCCAGTGTGCACAAGACAACAAGTAATACAACATAGAACAGATAATGCACACCAGAGCTCTTGCTGCGGCGCCCTGACTCGGCGCAAATTAAACCCTTTCAAATCCCATCTCAAGGCACACTAACGTACCATACACCGGGCTATGTGCTTTTACAGTAGGTGAGACCGTTTCTGATGACTTGCAGATTATCTTTGCTATCTCTTAGAGCTTGCCAAGAGCTAGTTAGTCCTCTGTCTGTGTGGCCGTGCCACTATTTCACTGTAAACAAAACGTATTGTGTATTTACATAAACTCCATGTGGGATGAAGACTCTCTTGTCCCTAGCCCGGAGCCCACCTCTGCTCCGATCTACATTGGTGCACTCTGTTTTACATTTGGCGGCACATGCTTGCCTGACCTGTGCATCGGTACGTAGCCTGGTCTGAAGTGACAGAGGGGTGTCAGCAGGAAATGTCACATCACAATGAATTTACATCAGCTCCTGGGTCGTGTGTCACCGCGGCAACGCTCCCAGTGAAAGATGAGAGCAGGCTGAGAGGGCCCCGTCCCACCAGCAGGGGTTCTCAAGGCAGCGGGAGGCCAGATGGGCTGCTACAGACGTCAATCTTCCTCAAGGCTTAATTATGACGGGCTTAATGAGCAGACGGCTGGTGTGATACTCCTTTGAATATGTTTAAATCTTCAAGCAATACAGTAGTGCAGTGGTTCTGGCACTTAAAGCAAAGAAAACGGACAGGATCTCCCCTTTTCCACCAGGGGGCTGGTTTTGGGCCAGGGGGCTGGTTCTGAGCAGAGTCATTTACCCACCAGCGCAGAGCTTATGCCAGTTACCATAGCAACATGCTGTTTACAAGCAGTAGTTAGTGTTTATTAGCTTCTCAACAAACTGTCTTATCTGTTTTTTCAATGAAGACCTTCTTTTATGTTTTCAATACACACTTTGAAAGTTTGAGGCAGAAATTGCAAATGTGTGTATATTATTCCTCACCAAACATGATCCCATAGACTTTTGAAGCCAAGCAGGGCAGAGCCTGGTTAGTATTGTGACGAGAGACCACTGGGAACACCAGATACCACAAGGAGATGACTGTGACTGTAAAGTACCAAACTGTCATCATTGTTATTCTTATTAGGCTTACATTTAAGTTTGTGCCAAAATTCTTTCATTCAATTCATACAATCACAGCATTGACAGTTAAAATATGGGAGAATAAAAACACATTACAGTGTACAGTGCGCTGCTTTGAAAATATTTGTGGGACATGTATTGGACAGACTAATGCTGCAACGCTAATTCCAGGAGTTCTTGAACCCTTGTATATTATTGGTTCAGAATTAAAACATTTGACAAAAGCAAAATGTGGTCTTTCTCTGGAGTAATGAATAAGATACATCATTTTGACAGGATTCCTCCAAACCAAATGAAAACATAGTCTATGTCAAAACATAAACAAGGAATAATGTGGTTTACAATGTTATACAATTTGTTTTATTCAAATGAAATCAGCAATAATGCAAAAATATGTAATGTGACCTTTGAACACCGACATTGACAAATATTGTTGAGGGAAACATCCGGAGGCAAAGGAATAATCAGGCTAAGGTCACGGAAAGGTCCTGGGTTCCTCTGAGCTCCAACATTGTTCTGCTGCTCACCAGATATACATGCGACGTCAGGGCGTCTGCGGCAACAATGCAAATGAACCTTCAAGATAATTATGTTACTAATGGGCCTAATGTCACAATGGAGCTCGAAGCAAAGGCTGATTTTAAGTAGTTTTTCGCTTTTTAGTATTTTTTTTAGTGTACTGCTACAAACTTGCTTCTGAAATGTGTGGGAATCTTGTTCCAGCTAAATCATTGTATATTTTGTGTTTTCTTTTTTATCTTTTTTAAATACTACATCCCTGAGCCAGATGGTTCGTGGAGTGTCCTTGGAAGTTAGAAACCACTTATGCTTTATTCACAAACCGTAACTTATACATATCAGGTGTGTGTGTGTCTGTGAGTGTGTGTGTGTGTGTGTGTGTGTAGATGTTTACGTTTGTGTGTTTTTGTTTGTTGAAATGTCCTGACGGATTCGCAATGAGGACGCTGTTGTTTGCAGGAGCAGTACGTCTTCATCCACGACGCCATCTTGGAGGCCTGCCTGTGCGGAGACACCACCATCCCGGCCAGTCAGCTCCGGTCCGTGTACTATGACATGAACCGGCTGGACCCGCAGACCAACTCCAGCCCCATCAAGGAGGAGTTCAGGGTAAGGGATTGATTCTACCTGCCTCTGCCATTTTGACCCACAGAAAGCCTAACAAACTAAGCCTTACTCAAATCTGAACTTAACCATTAACCATAATTAGACATAATTTACTTCTGAACCAACGTAAGGATCACCTTTTTTTAGAAGTAAATGGCACGAATGACAACTTAAAGATAATTCAGGGTTTCTTGCATTCTGACCTTTACCAATGAAAGAAAAAAATAAGATAAACTTTATTGATCTCACACTGGAGAAATTAACACACACACTCACATTTGGCATGGATAGATTAACTCGGATTGTGCAAAAGACAGAAGTGTGCAAACATGTTAAGGATATATTATGTGTATTGAATAGTGGCAATTGCAGTGCTGGTTTTTTCAGTCCTAGTGCAGGTCATTAGTGTGACTTATTTTACAGTGACTTATTGTAAAGTCTGACAGCGGTGGGGATGCTGTAGCCCTCCTTCTTGCACTGGGGTATGTCTCAGTCTCCCACTGAAGGAGCTCCTCAGCTTCTCTACAGTCCTGTGCAGTGGGTGGGAGGTGTTGTTCATGATGGAGGTGACTTTGACTAGCACCCTCCTGTCCCTCACCTCCTCCACAGAGTCCAGGGGGCAGCCCAGAGCGGAGCTGGCCCTCCTGACCAGCTTGTTCAGCTACAGTACTCCTGTCCCGCTCTGTGCTGCCCGGGGCCCAGCACACGGCAGCGTAGTATATGGCAGAAGCTACCACAGAGTCATAAAATGTCCTGAACAGAAGCCTGCTCTGTTCAAGTCGAAGGACCTCAGCCTCCTCAGAAGGTGGAGGCAACTTTGGCCCTTCTTATACAGGGTGTTGGTGTTATGGGACCAGTCCAGTTTATTGTTATTGTGTTCACCAGCTCAATGTCCTCCCCCTGGATATTCAGCGGCGTTTGGGAAAGTGGTTTTCTCCTGAAGTTGATCGCTTACCGGTGTTCAAGCACAAGTGGTTGCACTCTCACCAGTCGACAAAGTCCATGATAACTGACTGGTTCTCCAGTTCATTCATGGTTACATGGTTTAAGCCAATGAGTTTGGATGTCTTAATATGTATAGTTTAACATGTCCCTGTCTTCCTTGTGGTGGCAAGCCGACACAGGTTCAAACCATATGCTAGCCTTTCCCACTTTTTGACATAGCAATTCCACACAGATCTGCTGTATGAAAACACTTTGAGATTCAAATTCACTCTCATCCTCTTAGACCCTGAACATGGTGACCCCTACGTTGCGAGTGGAGGACTGCAGTATTGCTCTTTTGCCGAGGAACCACGAGAAGAACCGGTGCATGGATGTGCTGCCTCCGGACCGCTGCCTGCCCTTCCTCATCACCATCGACGGAGAGAGCTCCAACTACATCAACGCAGCTCTTATGGACGTAAGTTTGAGGCCAACTCAAAAAAGAAATGATCATGATAATAATACTGCATTGATTTTTGGTCGCTTCACAAAGACTGGTTTTCACTCATTCACTCCATACACAGTGGTGATGAACCACAGCTGCCCTCGGGCAAGCTGACAGAAGCAAGTCAACCCGCGCCCTCCGACTACCACTAACCATTCATGCATACACCAGACTCATTCTAGGCAACCGGGGTGAAGTGTCTTGCCTCTGGATGCAATAACTATTTGGCACTTTACAATCGTCTGAAAAAATATATAAAAATCCTAAAAACTATTGAGGAAATATTTGTGTATCACAGCGAAGGCCCCCTGAACTGTGACAATGTGTGCTATTGCTGTCCCATACTTTATATAGTCGTAAACCCTCAAATCTATAGCAGGGGTGCTCAATACGTCAACTGCAATTTACCGATCGATGGCGAAGGCGAGTTCACACGCAACATGTATTCGTTCACACAACTGTCTGTGAACAAATACTCAGGGAAGAGCGCCACACGTAAAAGTAATTATTGTAAGAAAATCATGTAGATATGGCAACAAATCATTTTGCGAGCCTCACATTGCGAACCACTGGTCGAGAGATCTGTCAAGTTCAGTAACCCTTAGTGCCCGAATGTCCAGAAGAAGACTTAATTGAAGCTTTCATCTTACTGTTTATTGAAAAAAAAAAAACGACAAACAACAGAAGCGTTAAACAGGTCACCTTCAAAAGAAACATCCCATTCACACCTCGTAATATAATAAAAGCTCAGCAGACCGCTCAAAGTTAGTCCAAGGTCTAAACCCAACCCGCATTTGGCTCCTTTCCCCCGACACGAGTCCTCCATTAGTCCAGAGCACATTTTGTTAAGTTATTCTCAGGGTGTGTACAATATAAATGAAGTGCTGTGTGTGTGTTCGTGACAGAGTTACAAGCAGCCGTCTGCCTTCATCGTGACCCAACATCCTCTGCCCAACACGGTCAAGGATTTCTGGAGACTGGTGCTGGACTACCACTGCACCTCCATCGTCATGCTCAACGACGTGGACCCAGCACAGGTAAAACGTAACATCCACTAAGTCTACCATTTATTTAGCGTGTGGGGAATTGGATCATTTCTGTCTGCAGAACCTACAATACTTTCTGGACTATGAGGCGCACCTATATATAAGTCACACCAGCAACATTTTTGTCAATTTTGTCCACTCCACACAGTGATGGGAACAGGGGAACCTATTGTACATGTTTCTAGTGGTAGGGAAAACTTAACACCTGCACAGACACGGGAGAACATGCAAACTCCACACAGAAATGCCAGGAGGTGGAATCGGAACCCAGGATCTTCTTGCTGTGAAACACAAGCACTAACCAGTGTCCCACCGTGCCGCCTTTGCAGCAGATAGATGACTGTTTTAACTGGTCACGACATGATTTATTGATAAGGTGTTTAACAGCTAAACCATGATTTTCCATGACTCATTCACCAATCTATTGTGACTAAAATAAAACTTGTATAGCGAAGTTCATACACAACTCAAAGTGCAAGAGAACATAGAAACAATCACTCACAGACTCTTTCTGTTGCACAAACAACATGGATAATTAATTTATGAAAACAATTAAATTTAAGTACCCCAGCTTTAAGAAATTATGTAACGGACCAAAACATGGAATGCCAAAGTATATTTGTAGAGCAGGGGTCTCCAAAATGATGAGCTATTCCTTTAGGCAGGTGAAAGAAAGCCAGTATATGTTGAAGTAAGCAAAGCCTTAAAACAAAAGGTTTTTTATTGGATAAGCAGCTTTAGTCTTTAGTACATGTCCCTTTGGAAATTATTGTTTCATTACTAAATTTAGCCAAATACTCACCTTACATGCATATAAGACAATCTATTATGATGTATTAGGGCATTTTCAATCATTGTATATTATGAAACTATATAGGCATATTTGTCAATTCTAAATCCTTGAAAAGATATTCTCTTGTGTGTGTGAAACCACTGAGTTTCTCACTGTAGAAGTGTATTTATACATATTTAATACAGTCTGTGTTCTGCTGGTTACACAGGGCACCATAATCTTTCTTTGGGGCTTTCAAAAATAAATGGGTTCCATCCAGTGGGGGCGGGTCCCGGCTCAAAATGTCCAAAATGACGTGCGCTGACATGCTTGCAATACCAACCCGGGCCGATGGGGGTGGACCCAGAATAAGAATTAGCCAATGCTTATGTATAGCATCTTCTTACCCCTCGAAAACGGTTTTACAGGATGGTCCAAAAGTCAGCTCTTGGCCCAACACTAACTTCCAAATGTGTGTCAATGCTGAGGGGAGTATATATTTTTTGGACCACTCTAGTTTAGTTGCTGTGGAAGTTTGAAGGCACTCGTCATATATGGGGCTCGTGCCGGCTCACGCATGCGTTAATGCGCTTTTTCAAAATTTTCAGCCCCCCGCGGCCATTTTGAAACTGCCTATAGACGGCGAAAGTGGTGGCACATTAGTTTCAACGGCGGAGACAGGTGTGACTATATCCGTTAATATTTACAGTCTGTGGTTTTATCCCATGTTATTAACCTGTCTGCACAGCGCGTTTTTGTGAATTTACAAATTGCAATATAGTCCAAACATTGTCTTTCATACGACAGCAGAGACCGACCTGTGCAGCTCCTGGTCTCTCAGCCCGCAGGCTCTGTCATCACACCCAGGGATCAAAGCCTGGAGCTGGGCTGGTCTTACGGTTCTCTCCCCGGTGTGTGTCTGTCTGTGGATGGTGTGGAGGATGGATAGAAGAGCCTTTCATTCATTATTCTGACTGTAGCTGCCAGAGTGTGCTCACAGGTGCAGAGGGAGGAACCGGCATCTGTCACATTATTGCGCTGTGGTCTCTCACTAACTGAGGCGCGCAATACACTCACTTTCAATTTGGGGCAACTGCAGTGGATAATGACTTATTACAAAGACTAGTTTGTTTATTCACATTGTATTGTATTCACATACAATAACCAATGATTTTCCAAAAATGTACTATTTTTACAAACCCAAACTACAATGTAGCTGTAAGACGTTACATTTTACGCTTTTTTAACGCTAAATTGAGCTTTTGAGCTTTGTCTGAAAGCTCCTATCTCTCTTAGAGCAGTTTTCGGCATTTTAAAAACATATCCTGGCCATTTCTCAGGTGAAATTTTATTCTTATTTTAAAATGTTTATTAATGTTGACCTTTCCCTCTAATGGCAGAATAGGGAATTACAGGTTGATATTTTTTTCTCCCTTCTTACTTGTTTCCCATACATTATCAAACACAGACACAGTGATTCTAAAGAATATTATTTAACTTGAGAAATTACCAAAAATATTTTAGACAAGAGGGGCAGAGTTACAGGTCAGTGCCAGAAGATCCTTATACGCGTGGATGATCTAAAAACAACTGTCTGTGACTGATAAGAAACTGTGTCATATCATGGTTAAAGCTAAAAAACAATGCTTTAATCTTACCCCTGACCAACGAAACGTGTTTGTTAGTGTCTTCATTCTAATATTCCCATCATTTCCACACAGTCATTCTCCCTGTGCTTTTGTTGCAGCTGTGCCCTCAGTACTGGCCAGAGAACGGGGTCCACCGCCACGGACCTATCCAGGTGGAGTTTGTGTCCGCTGACCTGGAGGAGGACATCATCAGCAGAATATTCAGGATCTACAACGCTGCGCGGGTAGGTGCATCACAATATGACTGCTGCGTTTAACACTACAACTCCCAGACTTATAAAATTACTGGAACTCCCAGAGCTGTCTTTTTGACTGGTTCCATTCAAACCAATGGAATTCTGAGAAATTGTGAAAGGACATACTCATGACACCAAATCTAGGTACCTTGAAAAGTGATTTATAGATACCTTTTTAGTATTTAAGCTTGAGTACCCAACTTTCAAACCACAAAAAATTTCACTATGGAATACAATCCATCTATCCATCCATTCCATCACACTTTTGATCATTTTTTTCTGTATACAAAGAGAGGACCACCCTCAAACAGTGAATTAGTGCTCAGCCCAAAAGTCAGTTAGTAACTCAAGTGGCTCGCTCTTTTAAGTATTAATAAGAGGAGGATTTTCTGATAAGATGAAGAAGGAATGTTGTGGTCTGAACATACAGTCTTGTATACATATTACAAGACTCTTTCTCTCAACAAAAAAAAAAAAAACATGTATCATCTTATGAAACAAAAATAATTCTCTTTACTCTGCTACTACAACTACAGCATAGCTACCGAAAGTGCAGCTTGCCATAGCAATCGATTTAGCAACGTGTGTGCCCATTTTGCAGGGTAAAGCTGGTTGAACATATGCCCATATAAGGAAATTGGCCCCAACATTGCTTATGTTCATATCGGCCTCTTCCCTATTCAGCTAAGGTCAGCATTCCGTCAGTCCACTCCTAATGTACAGTCATGATAGTTACCAACCTACTACCCACCCAATGTCTTTTCTAGCTAACAATATACTCATTCCAGGTTTTTATTTTTCACTTCCCCTTGTTATCAAAGCTCGTCTCCTCCAGACGTGTTTGAACCGGGCATGATCTTACTTTCAGTTCTAAAACGAGTAAAAGGCCTGTGTCCATCCAATCAACACCAGAAGCATGTTCAGAGCAGGGGAGGTGTGGAACTCGCCTAACAAGTCGAAACTCCACAGGTGCACAAGCTATGCCACAACACCTGCAGAGATGTACTATATTTCAAAGCAAAGGAAGAAAGTCATGAATGTCTTTTTTGTATAAATAATTGTACGGTTATTTCATAGACCGTACATTGGGAGTGCTATCTAATGGGCTTCATTGAGCAAGGGACCGCATTGTCCATCTATATACTATAGTCTATGGGTCATCTCAATGTCAAAAACAAAGCATTGCACACTCAAAATGTATCCAAAGTATAATTTATTTGAGGATGTGTCAGCCATTAGAACCTTAATCAGACCATTCTTTTCTTTTTTGCCTTTGGACCACAATGAAATATATTTTAATTTGCATGTGCAATGCTTTCTTGCATATGAAATTGTCCTGGACGCTCCTGTAACGGTAAGAACTGCTGAAAATGGAGGATTTTACCACTGGCCCATAATTTTGGTGGTGGGGGAAACCGTAGCACTCAAAGTAAACCTTACGAGACCTGGGGAGAAACCAACCAGCGATTAAAGATCACATGGGACCACCATGGGCAACAAAAGTTCCCACCCATATTTTGACATTTCTCTGGTCTTCCTGGTTTTGCGCAGTGTACAACTTCCCATTATATTTTGCACCAAATACTAACAAGAATGCGAGTGTGGGGACACTAAAATCGCCACAAAATTCGACCTTTATGAACGCTGTAGATTCCCTGTCAGCTGAGCGTGAGCTGTTTTAATTCACATTGACTTCTATGAGGACAATTTCAGGGTAGCCACCGTGAATTTAGTATTATTTAGTCTGCAGTACCGCGGGAAGCAGCTATAAGCTAGTGATACCCTATCCAGTTGTTATTATAGATCTATGGGAGAAACATGCAAACTCTACTGAGAAAGACCCAGGCCCGGCTCTCGCTGTTAAAATAAGGTCACTGTTCTGCTACAGCGTTTCATTCTCAGAGCACACATGGGAGATGGGAGTTCTCACGTTGGATAAAAGCTATTAGAGAAGTGCTGAGTAGCTTCATGTTGTATTACCGGAGCTCACGTCCACAGCTGTAGCAGGCCATTCGTCACCGCTTCTATCAGAACATCATCAGCGTCTGCTCCATCCATCTCCTGCAAACTCGACAAGCCTCAAACACCATTGGACCGTCAGGCTGAGGGGTGTGGAGACCAGAACCAGGCTGATTCAACCACCTACAACTACAGCGGGTGTTTGAAGGAATTGACAATAGGTTCATGTTCTAGAATTCTAGAATTGTATTGGCAGGTGCCAATAGAACTCCATGAAAGAAGAGATTTTTGAAAGAAACGTAGAAAAGAAAGAAAATGTCAAATTGTTTTCCCTGATCATTTTTTTTATAGTGAATAAAATCACAAAGCCGCCATCTTCCTTCTGAAAGCCTTTTCTACTGATAAACATCTTCTTGCATATGTTTTTGTATATTATCACCACTTCTAAAAACCTGTTATAATAATAATCATGAGACTAAATTTGATGTAAACTGAGAAAATGATGAACGCCATGTGGTTTGGCCCAGGTGTTACACGAAAAATGTAATTAAATGTATATGTGTATATACCTAAATCATCAAAGTTGTCTGAAGGACTTTACAAGCATGAAGCACGCCCACATCAGTCACTGAAAAGATGTGAGGATTAAAGGTGCCATTATTGCACAACAAACCTTTAGGTTTTTGCAGAGAGGCATTTTTTTCAAAAATGCATAATGATTAAATGTTGAATATAAAAATAAAAAACCTGTTTCCCTGAACATAATTACACAGTTAAGGTGCTTGAATACTGTTACACTTAATACAATCTGCAGTTTATAGCAGTTCACTTAAAAGGTTGAGGTTTGACACATCACATATGTGGTTATGGCTGAGGTTTATATTGATTAAAATGTGTATGTATGTCTTTTTTATGTACAAAAGGGGGGCCCAGCAGAAAAAGAGTTTGGGGATCACTGTTCTAGTGCATGAGTGGATGATATACAGTAGTTGTGTATACATCTGTACATGTTAGCAGCGTGAGGGTATGGGACAAAGTGGATAGGTTAAGTGACAGTTAACACCTGTGGTTCCAAATTGCACAGTGTGATATTATTTCAAAAGGTCGATGTATGTAGATGTTTAGATGTAAGCAATAGTTTATCTCGCCACAATCCCAAATTGAGCACTCTGCCTATTATTAAATGTGTTCTGACCCTGAGCTCATTCAAGACTAAACTGAAGACTCTTATCTATAGGAAGTGCTATTATGCCTTCATTATTTTATGTTCGTTGTTTTTATTAGTGCCTTTGTAAAGCCCATCAAGTGGCAGTCTGTGATATAAATAACATGTCTGCTTTCCCTCTGCAGCCTCAGGACGGATACCGCATGGTGCAGCAGTTCCAGTTCCTCGGGTGGCCCATGTACAGAGACACGCCCATGTCCAAGCGCTCCTTTCTCAAGCTGATCCGACAAGTGGACAAGTGGCAGGACGAGTATGACGGGGGAGAGGGCCGCACCGTGGTCCACTGTCTGTGAGTGCATCTGTCTCCATCTACTGGCCGTTTGTCACAACTGCACACACTACTCTACTGGGACATAAAGCAATTATCAACTCTCCTTTTGTTTCTATTATATTTTAAATGATTTTGTAGGACATAGACACAATTACATTATATCTAATCTTTTAGGGTGAAACTATGAAAATTTGAATATTGTTCAAAAGTCCATTTACTTCTGATCCGTCCCTATTAATGGTTGCTAACCTGGTTGCTAAGGCAAGCTGGAGGTTCCCTTAATGAAGGCATCTGATAGGGTTAATCCTTATATGGCTAATATCTGGACTTTGAAGATATTATTACAATATAAAGTCCAGCATCATAGAGGGTGCTAAACCTGAGCTGAAAGGAGTTTACTTTTTAATGTAAGTCAATTGGAGCCAGAGCAAGTAGGAGCAAAACTTTATTTAAGAGAACTTTCTTATTGGGCTTCATTGAGCTCTTTGCATATGAATAATATGTGAGTTATGTTGTGTTATTGCAGTAACGGCGGTGGCCGCAGTGGGACGTTCTGTGCCATCAGTATTGTGTGCGAGATGCTCCAGCACCAGCGTTCTGTCGACGTGTTTCATGCAGTAAAGACTCTGAGGAACAACAAGCCCAACATGGTGGACCTCCTGGTGAGCACACTTCACTATCTTATAACACTGAGTTGGTTTTAGATACAGCCACGTGAGGGGTGTGCTCTGCCTTTTGTCATAAGTTATAATAATAACTAATAATGAAATTATTATATTTATAATAATCTAATTCAATCACGTGAATTTTTGTAAAGCTATGAGTCACAACAGCAGTAGTCTCGGAGGACTTTAAAAAGTTGTTTATTTGCCCACAACAGATTAGAGAATCAAACTGTTTTAAACATAATTCTAACAAACACATAGGAGCCATCATGAGGACTGGGATGACCACTGTCCATGAATGTTAATAAATGTGCAATGTCCCAGATCATCACTGTCCATAGACCGTCCTGCATCAGCAAAAAAATGTGACAAACCATGGAGAGGCCCATATTGAGAGGGATTTTCGCTGCCATGGACAGACAGGCTGTAGATCCAGGACTCAGGCTGTAGAGCAGGGTGTCAAACTGGTCCTCAAAGGGCGACCTGAGCAGGAGTACACCAGACTTAACCAGTTCCTCAGGTGAGTCCAGTTTTAACCTGAAGATTTGAGGAAATGGGCGGAGCCTGCTTTGCTTCTGCTCAGGTCTGTAGAGCGAGGACTCAAAGTGTTTAGCTGTGCATACAACTGAGGGATTTTATATTTTTATCTTTCTTTTTAATGTTCTGTGATTATTTATGATTTTAATGCTTTCATATCAACTAAACACCTGTGCCTAGCCTTACTCCACCACATAAACATTTGAAATTTTTCTCTAAACAGGGCGTTGCCTGGAAGACCAGGGGACAAGAAGTGGGGCTTAGAGTTGGGGCTATCATTGCTGCTTAAAGCAAAAGTTTACACACCAGAAGGTCTCATTCCACCCTTGTTTACACACTAAGATAATTGTAAAGCTACACACCTGAGCCTAAGCCACTGAATTATCTCAGCAGTATTGGCGGTCAATTGATGTAATTTAATTTTAATCCACTACAGTAGATGTTGGCAGAACATTTTCTGCTGGGGCGTGTGTGAGACTAGAATGGGTTTATCTCACTGGCGCACAGAGATGCCCGTCACATATGCCAACTGACGTCAATCATCACTCCAGAGCCAATGGAGAGGCCAAGCACCAAATTCAAATATAGTGCCACCAAAAGGGTAGAGAGGGCGCCATTCAGACGGTTTTAGGCTCAAAAGTGAGATTTTATCGAATTTGCACTAAACGTCAAAAAAAATAACCAGGATATGTAGCGATCACTATCATAAACATATTTATGCAGTTCATGAGTTTAAAAAGTTGATTTAGAGAAAAAGAGGGGTACAGTGGACTTTTGAAAGATGGTAAACCGTGTATATACTGTAGGACAGAACTCAAATATAAATCTCTAGTTTAAAAGTTGACCAGGTGAACTTACTTAAAACTTATGGCGGGATACTTATAATGACAAAAAGAACAGAACCCTCTCTTTATGCTGCTGTGACTTTTTTCCGTATTTTATTTTTCTAGATTTATGAACATTGTGTCTGGCCCTCGGCCTCAGAAATGTAACGATACCTTTTAACGCTCTTCATTAGTTTTTACAGCAAAATCAATGAACATTTGGAGCTGCTGCCAAGTGAAACACTGCGCCAAGATTTGCAAACATTATCTTTGACAAAAACACTCAAAAACATTTAAAATTTGAAGATGAAAGGCACCCAAACTGAATATTTTGTCATTGGAGCTTGTCACCTTCTTAATTCTCCTTTCATCGTGAAGACTTTAAAAGTTATGTTGAGCTGTTCTTCTTTGGATGATTCTGAGTTGATTACTGGATTTACAGAGAACACACATATAAAAGACCAAAGTTAGGGTCTTGGATTTGGTCTTTAAAAAGGGCTGGGTGGGCTCTGGATCCAAACTTCTTGTTTCTGGCATTTCCTGCTGGGAGAGAGCTCCCTCTTCTGCTTTATGCATTGCCATTGCAGAAACACCCAGACTTCCCCCTCCACACACACTTCCTTCCGCTCATCCGGGGGAATCCCAAGGTGTTCCCAGGCCAGCTGAGAGACGTAGTGCCTCCAACGTGGCTTGGGTCAACCCTGGTCACCTCCCAATGGGACATACCCAAAGGATCCAGGAGGCATCCAAAACACATGCCCGAGCCACCTCGACTGACTCCTCTTGACTTGGAGAAGCAGCGACTCTCATGTGACTGAGCTCCCGGCCGCATTCAATCCATGTTCTCATCTCAGGGAGGGTACGTAGATTGAACGATACATTGATAACTTCACCACAACCGTCCATTGCAGCTCTGATAGCAGACGCTGCTCCATCCCTCCCTCACTCATGAACAAGACCTTGATATACTTGATCTACTCCACTCAAAGAACAACCTCTAGTTCTTGGCAGGGCTGGACGGTTTTTTACTCACTTGATTGTTTGCTTTTGTTTAGATATGACTTTATCAAGATTAGTTTTAGGTTTTTTGCATATGATGTTGTTTTATTGTTTAATCTTGTTTTCCTGCAATGAAATAAATAAAATAAAATATTGAATTATTAATGTTTAATTAGATATATATTTTTCTCTTTCTTTTCCAGGACCAGTACAAATTCTGCTATGAAGTGGCTTTGGAGTACTTGAACTCTGGATAACTCTTTATCTGCCTCTTGATTTCCCATTTCCCATTTCCCATTGACTCTAACCTGGGGACCGGTCACGTGCTTCTACTGCCCCCATGTGGACTGCACTGGACACGGCAGACTGTACAGACTTTCATACGCCTTCATGGACGCTTGGAGAAAAGTGTTTCCCTGCAGATCGTGGCCTCTTTTCTGGATCCCTTGCTTCCCCTTCGTCTATGACCGTCCTGTGGTTGTTGCCTTGATCTACAAAAGACGATGAGCTTTTCGTAACGCTTTAGAAAGAAGTCCGTCATGAATAATTACAATGTATTAGCAAATGCAATGTTGGAGAACAAAGGTTTATTTTTGCTGAAGCGTTTGCAATGTACAGTGTAAAGTCAAGCAAGTCACAGGATGGAAAGTTGTCTGGCTCCAGCTAGTAATGGAGTATTCTATTATTTGTTACACATTTATCAGCATATTTATTATATCTAAGGAAAAGATTTTTTTTTTTTTTTTTTTTGTGGGAACGTCTTCAATTCAAATTGAAATGGGAAAGTTATTGATTACCTACAAAGTTGCCAGTGAAGTGGATATGACTGGTTAAACTAATCATGTCACCTAAATACATGTAATAGTATTATTTTTTAAGTGTTTGCTGGTTACAAATGCACAAGTTTACCTAGTTTGTTTGTATTTTTCATGTTTTTATTTATTTTTACTTCGTGTTTAGAGACCCTGACGTCAATCTTGGGAATTCCATTATGTTGCCTTGAAGCCATGCCGTGCATTGAGCCAAATCCAAGAATTCTAGAGAATTTGAAATCAGAATAATATATTTAGTAAGTAGAGTTAATCATTTATAACAAAATGACAAAATGTCAACATACACAGTAAATGAGTTCCAAAATCCTTGTCATACTTCACCATAATTTAAAACATTGAAAATATCATTCCAATTATTTGAATATATATGTTTCAGAAAGAATAACACCAGACACTTCTTCCGTGTCTCTATAGCAACGGCATTTCAACAATGCTGAAATAGAAAATGCAGTTTTCATACTTTTGAACATTTTATTGTTTATGTAAAGCTTAATCATGAATTGTAGGAATAGTTTAATGTTTATTTGAGGACCAATTTATATTTATTTATATTTATTTCAATTGTGAAGACCATCCAAGTGGAAATGAAAAGGGGCGACAGTGGCTCAGATGGTAGAGCATTGGCCTTAGAGCCTGAAGGTTGTGGGTTCATGCCCACCACAATACGTAATTCATGATTCCTGATGACTGCTGTCGTTGTGTCCTTGGGCAAGACACTTAACTGAAGCCCCTGCTGAATAGTCAGGGCTCCTGTGGACTCACCAGCTGCAGGAGGATCATTGAAGGGATGGTGCTCTGTGTACTGGGTGCAGCTCTAACTGCCACCCCCCTGACCCAGAAATGGATTAAGGGGAAGAAAAGGGATGGAAATGGATGGATGGATGGAAATGAAAATACAGTATATTAAATTATACAAAATCTATACAAACGGCAAAATATTTTTACTTTAAAGCTATACTTAAACATTACTGAAGCTAATTTATGCTATTTTTTACTTTGATCCGTCCAACACTGTTATGTTGTTTTCAAAGAACCAAAAGTCGGGGCTTGTGACGTGAGTTGATTTTGCTAATACGTTGTCCAATATATTCTCACTACTTCTTATTGTGAAGCTGTTTGTATAATGCGCAGCTGCTGTACATGCACCCTCTGCCAAAAGACCACTCTACACGAGTCAGACTGCCTTTTACAATATTATCACAATATGTTATAGATTTAAGGTTTTTATGATATGACCAAATCAAAGAGGAATTATGAATTTATACGGTCTAGGCTTTTAGTTGCTATCAGTGGGAATCTCGGCATACAAAATCTCAACTGAATGCATTGATGCATTGTGAATGGTTAAAATGATATTAAAATTGCAAAACAGTTTGAGCGTTTTTCACCATTGTCAAAGATAGGACTTTTCATATTGAACTGTGAATTAAGGCTAGGCAAGACTAGACTCTTTACACTCTTTGTGTAAAGAGTTTTTACTCAAAGTGCTTACCAAAAAACTAAACATAAAAATCACAATATTTAGGATATAAAATCATAAATAATCACAGTACATTATAAAGAGGAGATCCTTCAGTTGAATGTACACCTAAATAGAACTATTTTTAACCTGGAATTGAACAATGTCCGGAAGACTGTTCTAGATTTTAGCGCTGTCTCACCATGTTTAGTCCTGACTCTGGGCACCACATTTCTGCTGAATAGGAATCTCTTTGCTATTTAAGATACGAAGACAAAGAGAAAAGACAAATTATGATGTTATAGTCCTGTGAGTTTCAGAAAGATGCACCACTGCCCTGACATTAGCAATTAACAAGTAGTTTGAACGCAGACAAGGCAAAACTGCCTCTTCTTTGATCGCTTTTCAAACATAATATTTTTCATACTGAACTGTGAATAAAAGCAAGACTGTCACTTTCCACTAGAGTCCTCTAGAGAGCCTTTGTCATACAACTTATTGCATTTTATTATTGGTTCGTTCAAAAATACTTAATAATCGGGCCTTGCTTGACTTCGTATTTTGGTACGGTCCATTTTCTGTTCAAATGTTTCTGAGATGTTTGTTATACTTTGGGAGTAAATAATGAATGTATTTTATTATGTGCGCTGTTTGCTCAAGTATTATTCTGGTCTTGTGGAAGTAGTGCACAACTACTGCACAAAACTGATGTTTGGGGCCGTCCATGGTGCGAGCATAACAGGCACTGACCATTGATCTGAACAAGCAGCCATCTTTATAACCCGGGGCTGGGAGTAAATTAATCAGTGGTTTTGCCCATTGACAAGGCAGGTTGAATATTATTACTGTCTGCGGCGTTGGGGAGTGACAGAATTTATGCAAAAAATACAATTCTTGAGTAACTATTTGGAATACAGCTACTTAATTAGAGGACTACATTACACAAAAACTAATGAAACTCTTACTTTTAGTGATGTATGAGAGTTTATTTTTATTATTTTCAAATTAACCCTTTAGACTCCAGAATATTATTATGTTTCTTTTTCTTTTTTTACAGAAATGTGATGTGAAATAGACAAAAGGTGGAACCCTGGAACTTAGAGATAGAAAACTACTTACATCCGTAATAGAAATGAATAAAAGCAAAAATGTAGGGAAACGCTTGTGTGAAGCCGTTTTTTTTGTTATATATATAGATATATATATAGGAAGTGCTCTGTATTCAGAGGCAATTCTAGTTTGGCGCCTAAACGCTTAAAGGTATCAAAACTCAACAAGAAAGGTAGTTGTTAATCATTATGTTCTAAAAAAGTATACTATTAGATTATGCTCATTTGTATACTATTAATAAAGTATTCCAAAAAACTGATCTTGATTGGACCATGTAACAAAATATGTTAGAAAATAAATATAATTATTACTATTATACTTTTTTACAGACACATGGTTCATAGACCTGTGTTTATACACAGGACAGAGAAAACCACAGAATTATCAAACCTTTTCGGTTTTGGCTCAGACATCTGTGAGACACATGTATACATTATAAAGTGGGTATTTCATATTCTGCATAATGAGTCAATTGAGACACTTAAAGAGTGAGATATTTTAGTTTAATGAGAACTTTGCTCTCCTGGAAATGCAATATTACCTCTCACCATTTTTTAGGCAAGTAGAGTTTATTTACAAGATAGAAACAATCACATAAGGCCTTAAAATCATAATCACAGTACATTAAAAAGAGTGAAGATATAATACAACAATTTCAACTTGAAGGGTCTTCTTCACGTACTGTACTTGCTGGACTACAAGCCCATACTTAGTTCTGCCTCTATAACAACGTGGTTGTGGTCTCTTTTATTCTGTTGGAGTGCCCCCTTGGGTGGAGGCAGGGATTTGGACAAAACTCTTTCAGGTGCACACTTTACACATTAGCACACATTACTGCTTCAGTGTGTTTATGTGAACAGCAGAGAGAGAAGAGGAAGGGCAGGGAAATACACAGGACGTATACTGTATGTGAAAATTGTGAATTTATGTGGGCGGCACGGTGGCTGAGTGGATAGCACTCTCGCCTCTCAGCAAGAAGGTCCTGGGTTCAAATCCCAGTCGGACCAGGGCCTTTCTGAGTGGAGTTTGCATGTTCTCCCCGTGTCTGCGTAGGTTTCCTCCGGGTACTCCGGTTTCCCCTACCACTAAAAATGTGTCCAATAGTTCTAGCATGCGCCTCCTGTACTGGCGACCCCGCTCCCATCTCTGTGTGGAGTGAGAGACTAATGCCCAAAAATTAACAATTGTAAACCGCTTTGAGACTCAGATCTGCAGTGAAAAGGCGGTATATAAATAAAGATTACTTACTACTACTACTACTACTTATGTACAACATAAAAACCTGCGTTCAAACGTAGCTGTGGTTTACATACAAGTTCGCTTCATAGTCCAGTAAACACTGTAGTTTTAAAATATATATTATTAGATTAAATATACAGTAAAATGATATTGTGAATGGCACTCGTAACTCAAGTGGTTTATTTTTGTATCTGCGTTGAATCCCCGGTCCATCTTCCCCTCCGCAGCTTCAGTGTGACCTTGTGTAAAACCTTTGGCCTCTGCTTTCGTCACAGGATCTGAGCCCGGCCCTTGCTGTGCATACTGTACATAGATCTGGAGATTATTTATTCATGGTTTTTTTTTTTCTTTGGTGATTTTATTTTTGGTAAGTGACAATCATATGTTCAATGCGTTGGGTTAAATTGACTGTATTATTGTGTGCGCTTTTTGGGCTGTCAGCGTTTGACGGATTTATTCCATTGTAAAGAAAAATGATGTTATATAAATGTAATAAAATGGAAAAGAAATAATTGTGCCCTTGTTGTCTTTTAAATGGGGGGACACCAACTGGAGATTTCATTCATAAAGCGCTTTTCATTAAAAAAAAATACATACCCATTGACCCAACCTGTCCCACAGAAAACCACATATAGTATTAAATATATACACTCCCACACCATCGCACGGCCACATGCACACTCACATACAAAACATTGTTGGACAGGTAAAACCATGAGAAAACAAGTGCAAGCGTCGTCTAAGGAGCCGTCTGCAGAGGACCCAAAGCTCCAAATCTCCAGGTCCAAGAGCCAAAGCACCACACACCTTAGATCATAGGTGTCAAAGTCAAGGCCCGGAGGCCAGATCCGGCCCGCGAGACCATTTCCGGTGGCCATTGAGATCATTTTTGGAAATTTTGGAAATAGGCGACAACGTCATGTCATCCATTACTGACTTTCTCAAGAAAACAACCATAAAATTCAATTCCATAAGAAATCATTAGCCAACATGCAATTAGAAGTCAGTATTTTTATGTTTTGTTTTATTTACGAGAATTCACAATTTTCTTAGGGAAGAACTGCCCTCTCCACTTTTTGAACAAAACTCTCTTGTTTGGTCTTATTTGACGAGCATAAATCACCAGAATGATTGACAGTTGGGAGGACCAATAGTCTTGATGATCCACACAGAAGTAGAAAATCTTCCTGCAAACCTTCAATATTTGGTCCAGTTTTGGTTCAGTCCACAGTAACTGAACTAATTCTAATCAGAAAAGAATATCCAATCTAACTATGTGAAACAAGTCATTTACTTAGGTACCTTCATAATATTAAAAAATTATAATAAATGAAACCCACTTATTCTTTCGGCCCCTGACCAGCCCTTTCATTATTTATTCGGCCCTCAACCAAAATAAGTGACACCCCTGCCTTAGAAGAAGGGGTTTTAACATTTTGACTGGCATATTTCATAATGCTTAATTTTTCATTTAATGTTTGAAAGGGAGCTAACATACAAGGTTGGTGCTCGGTAATGCAGTGGTTAGCTGTTAGGATATTTTTCTTTGTTCAGCAATATTCCAGATCCCAAATGTTGATATCATAGAGAGACACTCGTACACTGGAATGGAAGTGAATATGTTACATTAAATGCATTGAGTGTTTTCATTAAGGTTTCTAAAGTGAAGATTCAACTTTCTAAAGAAATAAAGACTAAAGAAGGAGATTTTTCAAGAACAAAGGGCTGTTGCTTTAAGCCCCCCTTGTAAGAAAGGGCTTTCAGAATGCATAGGCCCAGACTAAAAAGTGACATCTATTACAAAAGAGAAATAAAAGGATTTTGATGAGAGTGAAGTATAGTGTTACTTCTTACATTGTTCAAGCATGATATAAATCTTTATGTGTAAACTTTGCCAGGTGATTGTGTGAGTGGGTGGGTGCAAAATGGTGTGTCTTTTTTTCCCTGGTATACTGTTAACACGACCAGATTGTGTGGTGATCAAGGGCCGTACCAGTGGAGTGCAGACTGGGGTGGTGGTCCCTCTCTTCATGAAGGGGTGTGTTTGAATTATTGTGGGATCAAACTCCTCAGCCTTCTTGTAAGGTTTACTCCAAGGTACTGGTGAACAGACTTCGAACAATAGTCACGTCTCTGATTTAGAATGAACTGTGTGTACCTCATGGTATACCATTAATTTATACCATGAGGGATCATGGCAGTTTTGTTAAATTTGAGCTGCCTTGAGTATGAACTGTGCTTTACATCTTAACTTCCCTTGCCTGTTTAAATCACCGATCAGTGTGAGCAAATCAACAACTTTGTAAAGTCCTCAGAGATGAGAAGTTGTGATTTAGGGCCGTACATAAATAGTTGAATTGAAATGCTTTACCTTGAGGTTAAGCTTGTAACATTGAGGTCTGTTGGAAATGTTCCTGAACAGCCTGTGGGATTTTTTTTGCCTATTGTCCATGTGGAGATGGAAAGCAACACACTCCGCGTAATACTGTACATGATACATCCATGCTCCCTGCATTTACTTTACAGTTTTTTAAAATTGAAAAACTTCAAGTGTCACCTCCCTCATGGATAACACCTCTCCCACCCAAATCAAATCAATTCACTTTATTCTTGTATAGAACTTTTCCAGATGCCGTTACCATGACAGCTCCTTTTGTTTGTATGTTGTTGTTTGATTTGTTCAAACATTGGACACAGCATTAATTGTTGTTAAATACCTTTTACAGAGTTTTCCCTTTGTAAAAATCCGTCATCCCTGAGCTCATTATGGTAATAGTCCGGGCATGGTGTGTGGGTGCGCTTATCACCACGTTTGTACGGCTTCTGGTGAACACTGTGTTTCCTCCTCCTGCTGACACAGGTAAGAATAATACGAGTATAAACTAGTATACCAACAAAACATAGGTCCTCAAAACTTCACCTAATCTCACAACATTGACCGTAGCTAGACTCTATACTAGACTGGACTCTGGTCTCTCCCTGGTCTTCGTCTCTGATATTTCCCTGGGTAGAGATTCTTAACTCTAGTAAACTTCAATGCTGTCTTATGTAAATCATTATGGACATATATCATACCATTTTACAGCTCAGAACTAAAGTGGCCCTCTACTAAAAAGGTTTTCTCAACATTTAATTTATTGCTCTCTGTGAAAATGAGAGGAAATCTAATCTTGAATCTTGAAAGTATTGTAAACAGTATTAGTGTTATGTTTCTTGACATAGCATAAGCCAAAAGCAACTTCTTACACTCATGCAAGCAATAGCAGGTTATCTAGTAGGATGAAGACAGAATGTCGTGGTCAGATTTCACATTCCAAATTTATGAGAATCTGTTGGGATAAAACAAAATGTATTTGTTTAGAAAAAAAAATTATTATCCCTGCTTTGAAATGGCTATCTATTCAAATTCAGTCATGCACATTTGGTATAATTCGATGTTGGATATGGCTTACAAATATAAACATGAAAACCAGCAAGGGCGGTCAGTCGTAATCCTTTTCTGCTTGAATAGATTTTCTGCAAAGTACGTTTTTTCCGTTGGAACATTGAAAAAAATATGTATATATGTATTCAAACATCAGAGAACATTGCATACAGAGAATAAAACTGATGTGATTTTTGATGCAATGCTCTGTCATGATTCATTCTCACATAGTTCCAGATGATCGCAGCTCTCAACGCCCTGAAGAGTCCGACCCGTTTTGGAGAGAGCACGAGCGGCTGGAAGAAGACGCGCGACTGTCGAGGGGGCGCCAGGATCCGCCCTTTCCGTTCGGACTACAATTTTGACTTCACCATTGACTACACTAGCAAACTAGACGTGTGCAATGATGTCATGCTCAGCTAGAAATACTTGAAAAAATAAAAGAATAATTGTCTATAAATTATTATGAGTGCTGATGAAATCTGCAAGTTTCTTAGACTTTATTCAATATTGTGCCCAATGTTAAAGAAGAATCGGATGTGTAATTGATAACTAAAGTAAGCAGCAGGCGCAAAGATCATTAACAAGATTAAAATGCATTACCATTTTCTAAAAGTATAAATACTAAGTCTTGTTAATCTAATTGCATGACTAATATGCAGTGTTATAAATGAATAAGTACAATGAATAGGCTGTTCTTTGTCCAAGTGTCATGTTGTGCCATTTTCATCCCCTTTATTATTCCATTTCTGGGTTGGAGGGGTGGCAATCAGAAGAAAAATACTCTTTATCTGCAATTTACCTGGAAATGGAAGAATAATTATTTATTTAAGTATAAAATGTTATGAAAAATAAAAATATATGACTGAAACAACATAACCGATAAGAAAGAGTAAAGGTGAAATAACACTCAGCAGATTTTTTTTTTAATCTTGTAATGGTTTAAAAAATATATAGCTGTAACCCATGGATACACCCGATCATCAAAACTGATCATCCAAAACAAGTGTTAACATTGATAGCAATGAAAATCCACCATGTTTGTACTGCAGTGATATCATGAGCAATAGAAGTTTAAATTAGTTAACATTTTCACAAATGAATAATGTCTGGTCGTATCACACGCTCATGTTGCTAACATGTACAGTAGTATCACACACTCATGTTGCTAACATGTACAGCAGTATCACACACTCATGTTGCTAACATGTACAGTAGTATCACACACTCATGTTGCTAACATGTACAGTAGTATCACACACTCATGTTGCTAACATGTACAGCAGTATCACACACTCATGTTGCTAACATGTACAGTAGTATCACACACTCATGTTGCTAACATGTACAGTAGTATCACACACTCATGTTGCTAACATGTACAGCAGTATCTCACACTCATGTTGCTAACATGTACAGTAGTATCTCAGACTCATGTTGCTAACATGTACAGCAGTATCTCACACTCTTGTTGCTAACATGTACATGGGTAAAAATAACAATATTTGAACCTAAAGAGCTAATGACTTCTTCAAAAAGATTACTTCAATATTCTTCCACTAAAATGTATTATAGTTGTTTAGAGATTTTCCTTTGGTTCTTAAAACCAAATATACAGTGTAGAGGGTTAACTTATTTTCATTACTAATGTATTAGTACAGAATATATTATTATCAGTAGACTAGAGTGAACAGGTCTATACTTTATGTGTTCATACTTGAGGTTTATTAAAAGATAAAGATAATTATTTTATTTTTAAAGGATACAATTGAGCTATACTCAATATTCACATTGGTTTTGTGTTTATGTGCTCCTCATTCCTACTGATACAACACTGACATTTCCTGACTGTGAGACAAATGAAGGATCTCTTCATCTTTATCTTAATCTTTATCTCGGAGGTTGGATTTGTACTGCTTTACGCATGGCTTCAATACCTATTTTTTTGTTTACGCTTTATTTATTTATTGTCTGCCATAAAAGATTAATTTGACTTTGAATAATTGATTGATTGATGATTTGGAAGTTTGAAAAAAAAAAAAAAATCACTGCGCTGGTCTGTACTGAAGGTGGCAGTTCTCAAACAAACCAGCAGAGGGGGCTGTCCGATTGAAGATGTTTGTGTAGCAAGTGAGAGGAGACCTAAACTTGATATTTGAGTTGTTTAATTACTTATATTTTACCAGGAAATTCCCACTATATTTCAGAATCTCTTTTTTTTTCTGGGGAACCTTGGCCCCAAAAGGAGTGGAGTTATTGCACATATTTCTAGTGGTAACCGAAACTGGAACACCCGGAGGAAACTTAGGCAGAAACAGGAAACTCACATGTTAAATTACAACATGAAAACCTGTGGCTTATTTTGAGCGGCCTATAAGTGGGAGAGAAAAAATATATATATTTTCAAATGTAACTGACTTTTATTTATTTTTGTTGTAGTTGGGAAGTTGTATTCCATTTTAATTTGGATAAGAACTACTAAAGGTTTCAAAATCAATGTATTTATTTTTTTATTCGTCCGAGTACCCGTGTAGACCGGAAGTAGATCTCCTTTATACTGAAAACGCTTGTTTACAATCTGTTAGTGTGTTTTTTGCGGTGGAGTTGGTGGATATTCAAGATGACAAGAAGATTGTGTTGCAATACACTGCTCACACATGCACTAAAGGGTGGATGGCCAAAGGAGAAGTGCCTATAAGTGGGGAAGGGAGGGGCTGATGGCACATACTGGTTGCCTCGCTTCTGTCTGTCTGTGCCAGGGCAGCTCTGTCTACAGTGGTAGTTTGTCACCCTCATGAATTGAAAATTAGTTTTGCTGTAAAGCCACTACAACAGTTACTGTAGGACTAAGTCTACAGTCAGATAAACACAGATAAACCAGATCTAAGTCTAAAACCAGACTAAAAGTTGTGATGTGATTGTTTTGTCACATAGACTTTCCCGGGCAGCAGCACAGCACATCTCTGTCATTCATATTTCAGCACGTGAAGACTACATATTTTACCAGTTGGACGTCCAGTGGAACAGGCTCTTTTCTCACTGCGCATGCCGACCTTACCAACACTCTGCAACGAACAAAACCAAAACAGGAAGACAGAATAAAACAGAAAGATTGAAAGATATGTGTAAACTCTGCAAACATTGATCAACTTCATCATTGAGTGACAGGTGAAATGTGAATGGGAATCTAATAGGACAGATTATAGGCTTGAATGACAAATGATTTTGAAGGTTAAACTTAAAACCAATCATGTTGGGCTAATTTGGGGAGAGGGCTCTGTACTAAACCAGGTCTGGTACACAATACCACGATCCCGTACCACTGAAATTTGGACAGAACACGGAAATAAATCAAGAAACCAGGACTATAATAAGTGCATTATAAACTCCAATCAGGATTGAGAGAGTAAACCAACAGCAAACTGATCAACAACGGTCTTACAAGGGCCGATCCATGACTGAAGCAGGACCAGGACCAAAGCAGATCTGAACCAGGACTAAAGCAGATCTGAACCAGGACTTAAGCAGGTCTGAAGCAGGACTGAACAAGGGCAGATCCAGCACTGAAGCATAAGTAAAGCAGGACTAAAGCAGGACTAAACAAGGACTCAAGCAGCCTCAGACTTGAACCCAATCATGGCAGCCTTCTGTGTCACATGACCCACTCCCCTAGAGTCATGTGACCATGTGTCTGTTTCCATGGCAGCCATGTGGAGTGTTTCTGTCAGAGAGGAGAGAGGTGAACATGCCCCTCGTGAGAGTGGGCTCGAGATACACCACTCGAAATAACAATATCATTCTTCATCAAATACACTCACAACAGAAACAGGAACGCTGAACCAGAGAAGTCTTGTTATGAGCACAAACCAAGACTAAACCACGACCTAACACCTAACTGTTGTCATTATATGTCCTTATATTTAATGTTAAATGTTAATTATAATTAACAGCCAATTAAGTACTAATTAGTGTACCTTTAGCCATATGGGAATGTGTCAGTTAGTAGCTGGTTAGATGTTGTTTAAATGCTCAGTAATAATGATAATAAATACCAATTAAGAGGTAATTAATCATAAATTATATACTAATAGGCAAATTAATTAGTGTTTAATTGGTAAGGACCAAACTAAAGTGTGACCTTCTGAACCAATTTTTTTTTTTTCTTGAAACAAAATCATATTATTATCATCATTCATGGACATTGGTCATCTGCCCGTTATGGCGCTCGGTGTTTTATTGTTGCATTTCTTGAGTTGAACTGTTGATTCTCTGATCTGTGTTGGCGAATTATACAATTTTGTTAAGTCCTCTGAGATAATTACTGTTGTTAATAATTACTAACCCTTTACGGCTATACAAGAAAATAATGAATTGAATTGAACAAACGTCTGTGACCTTCGAAATATTGGGAGATATCTAGAAAAAGATTTAAATGGAACCAGTTATGCTGGAATGGTCTGAATGGTCCAGAAATGGCAAGGCACTAGTCTATGTAAATAATTATTAACTCTGTCCGTATCATTCCTACATTCCTACAGAGAGACCTATGTTGTGGCTACAGTAGTAGTTTATCTCCACCGTGTATGGAGTAAATTAATAATGTCATGTGAATGTCCCAAAAAGCGATTTAAAAAAACGATGCATTATTATTACTGTTTCCTCTGCTTATTGCTGTTAAAAAGTTCAAACATATTTCCTTCACAAACAACATCTCTGCAGTTTTGTCATAAATAAATCCCTAAGCGAGGCCAGCTTCAAGATAGGGAGTGCCTGTGAGCCAAGGATTTGGCTGCATCAAATTCCACTGGAAAGCCTCTTTGGCTGTTCTTCCTCTGCTGAGGGCAGCTACAGGTTTGACATACATGTAACACTTGTTAAGATATTTTAAAAGCCACTTATATCAATCATATGCTTCCAAATGAGATGCTTCCAATGACATAGGAATGATACGGACGGGAAGTAAAGGGAAAGAAAGTTGATTTAACAAATCGGACGCACACGAGAGTCTGCTGCAGCAAACAACAACGTATTTGTTGTTATTACTTTCCAAATGGAGTATTACATAATCTACATTCTAAACGGAGGATTATAAATCTATACTCAAACTATTATCTGGACTTAAACATGGCTGGTCTGAACTGAATGAAGTGGTGCATAGAGTTCATATAAGGTAAGACCATAACACACTTCAATGTGCTCTTTACTTTTGCGTTTTGTTTGAACAAACAATGTGTGAATAACCCTCAGCAGAAGTAAGCTTTAACTTTAATTTTGACTGAAATATTAGGAGGGCAGCAGCTTAGTTGGTAGAGCATTGGCCTTTGGGCCTGAAGGTCATGGGTTTAAGCCCACGAAAAGACCTACTTCACGACCCCCACTGATGACTGCTGTCATTGTGTCCTTGGGCAATACACTTTACCTCA